GACTCTCCACATCGTTACTACTTTCGGGATCATCCTCTTCCACTTCTTCCGGTTCCTTTAAGGGGGGAACAACGTCTTTCTGCTGCTTGCTGGCCTTTTTCGCTGGGCAGGTGAAGTATGCGCAGTCCACTTTGGGGTTTTCATTGGGGTTGAAAAGGGAAATGAAGGAAATATTTTGTGGGTTGTTATACGGCTCTGTGCCTTCTGTGTATTGCGGAGGCAGGCCGTTGAAGTTGGAGAAAGCTGCCTTCCAGTGCTCCACTGCGGCTTCGCAGTCAGCAGTAGCTCCTTCTTGAACCGCGTAAGCGTAGGTGCCAGCCAGTGTGGCTGATTCTTGAGCAGACACTGCATCCTGTTGGTTTTGTGGAGGACGCAGCACACAGAATACATGGCAGGCCATAGGAATACGTGTATTTAAGTGGCCGTATACATGTGTGTATACTCGTGTAAGACGTGGAGTGAGAACCCAATCAAGAAGTTCGGCCATTCAGGGTTGTAGCGCCACGACTTACTCCTTTCAGTGCCGTGCACACTGACCCCACGTACGCGTCTACGGTTCCATCTCTGACGGAGGAAGCTGCATCTATTGGGAGTTTTTCGCCTTCTTCCTTTCCCACCGTTAGTTCGGCGAAGCCGACACGATTGCGGGCCGCGTTCATTGACGCCGAGCAGTCCACCCGCTTTGCCGCGTCTGTATACGCACACGTAAGAGCAACCGAGAGCGATTTGAACGCGGTTTCGCTTCAATTTCTTTATAGTCTAGGTGTATAAATAGGGTTTCAAAAGACTCACTGCTCGTGGCTTGATTGTCTTCCGCATTTGCCGAGTTGCTACCCAGCAACAAGATGGCGGCGGTGACCAACGAGATGAACTTGAGACCAGCCATTCTCGAGGTCCAGCGGAGTAAGTGAGTAAGTGGGACAGCTAAAGCACTCCAAAGCACATATGATCCTTCCAAGGAAGGGGGAAATTTTGTTGAAATAGATCATCGGCGATGTGAACGTCGGGGTTGCGCTGGAGGCGGTGTCAAGCCTTGCCCTGGCGGCTGGCGCCAGTCCCCACCCTGCGGAC